TATGTTTTTGATCTTTTGTTTTGTCTTTCGTGCATCTCTCTATCCCCGTTTTCTCTGTGTTTTTTTATGGGTCTTTGGACAATGCGAATCAACGAGTCTTAGGCACTCTCTGCCGGCCGTTGTTCTTCATAAGTGGTGTGTGTGTTGGTCATAAGCACATACGGCCATAGATACAGAAAACTCGGGATCCCGTCCGCTCTCTCATAGATAAGCCACTAATCGCCTGACTAGTAGTTGGGTCTGTGACGACCAGCGAAAAATCCCAGGTGCTGTATGTTTTTGACGACATGATGGTATGATTGAGTATTCTGCTGCTCCTATTTTGTTGTCTGCTGCTCCTATTTTGTTGTCATCTTTTTTTTTTTTTTTTTTTTTTTTTGGTTTTTTTTTTTTTTTTTTTTTGGTGTTTTGGCCTTAGTTATCTGCTTATTTTATCGGGGCCATTCCCTCATCGGTACCTCCCATGGACCTTTCAAAACATAAAACGCCCGGAAGCCGCAACACACCATGGTCACTCGTGTCCTATCATGTTAGTTTTAATGGTGACACTCTTGATGGCCTGTGGACCTTTCTGCACAGGTCATATTATATGATGTGTGTAATAGCAAAACTCTAGTCCTTCTTCAACTGCATTCTTTTATCCAGTTGCAGCAGGTGCCGAACTTCTAGGAGGCATGCTGGTTTCTCATCCGCTTGCCTTATCCCGAACACCAAAGGCCGTGGACGAGATGATCCAAGAACCCTATGAACTGTACCCTATCGTACAAGGTGCTAAGCTCGATTCCCTATGCTGTCGCCTACGGTGTCAAAGTACGGGACACCGGATAACACCATGTCCCAGGGTACGGACGGAGAAGCGAATGGGCTGTTGACAGTTGAACATGAGAGCCCATTTCTCGAGAACGAAAGGGGCGATGTTAGAACTAGAGGACAATTCACTCCCTTTCTATCACCTCTACCTAAATCGTAACTCCATTATTTATATACGCAACCTGGGCAGTGTCCACATCAACACAGGCAACAACTTAACCCGTCCTATCTTTTATCATCATCATTATTTATTATCCCAAATGCCCCTCAACCTTCCCACTCCCATTACATTACGATCCTCTCCACCGTACTCATCCTGCGACTGCATATCCGAGCAGAACGACGAAACGAAGTGCGACGCAGTTGACATAAGCTTTCACGGTCGATGGGGTGACCTTGCTTTCCCACTCAAGCTTGGATTGTGTCCACCCACCCTCTAAGAGCGCCAAGCAATGCCAAGACATTGGCGATAGCTTCACGTTTCAAATTCGAGCACCTCCAACCTTAAGCGTTATCCCACTGATGCCAGCACTACAATTGGGAATCGCCCAATTGATTGAATGCACAAAGAATCAAGCAGCCAAAAAGACATCAAACCAGGAAAAGCACAACCAAAAACAAGCGAGAAAAAACATACAACACCTGGGATTCGCTGGTCGTCACCGAACCAACTACTGGTCAGGCGATATGTCTGCATGTCTATGGGAGTGGGAAGGACAAGAAACGGGTCTTTTAATCACGTGGTAGGGTCAAAAAACTGAACCACCACCTCCCATATCCATACCGTTCGGACGGAGGCAAGACGGTGAGTGGGGAGGCGGCGCTAAAAAGATGAATATATTTGGCCGGATTACGAGAAAAGTTGACCGTCCTGACACTGCCGCTAGATTTTTTACACGGGTAACACCCAAGATTGCACTCGGTGCTTGCATGGGGCTTGGCTCGAAGCGAGGCTGGAAGCCTTGATATCAAAACAAACGCTACCCGAAGTGAACCCCTCTGGTTGCCTTTTTGGCATGTCCTCCATTGCAGCATCAAAGCTGCATTTGATCCTTAAAAGACGAAACATTAATGTGGCACGCTGACATCAGGCTTGATGCCAAGTGCGGCGCTACGAAGATCCACATATGCATCTTCCAGCGGGTAGGTAGGCCCCGCGTGATGCATATTCCAAGATAAGGGATGGCCAATGGAAATGCCCCCGATGCACTAACAAAATCCGACGCGACCAACCCGAGGCACCGACGTCGTCCACTACCGACTACCTGCTTCACCCCATACACACCCCAAACAAACGATCTATGTTCCTCTGCCTCCATCAGTTTATCACCTCCCAACTTGCTCAGGTCTTCGTCTGCGAAACCTTTTGATTCTTGTACGTAATCAGCGAGTACACATGACCGTCTGAGTCTGTGTTCAGCGATTTGAACTCGAACACATTGCCCGCCGGCAGGATGAGCTTCGTCTGGAGACTGCTCGCAAGTGCCGCCATGTTGGCCTCGAGGCTGCGCTCAAAGCCAGAAGCCCACTGATGAGCTGGCTTTGCGAACCCATCCATACCCTTCGGCGTGCCGAACTCTTTGAACATCTCGTGGTTAGAGAGCTCGACGATGACGCCATCTTCCTTGCGGCGGTTACTCAAACTCGTCATTTTCTCATGGCCACTTTGCTGATGTGGTTGGGGTTGCTAGCGGTCGAGGTCTTGTAAAACTCGGCGGCAATGAAGAAAGGCACCGTCTCGTGGGTGGTGTCGTTGTAGACATCGAGGCGGTAGTAGGAGGCCTGGCGGTCTACAAAGTTCTGCTGCCACTTGACGGTGATGGGTGTTCCCAGGGCTTCGCCATCGAAGAGATCGATGAGGAGCTCGTGGCCGGCTTCGACGGGGGAAGGCATTTTGGTGAGTTGGTGGTGGTTGGAGTTGAAGAAGTGCAAAGAAGTGTGAGAAAGGTTGGTGCAGCTTGTGATATCTGGAGAAGTCTGGATGTTGATGATGATGAGAAGAGAGTCGGACTTCTGAGGGGGACTGTTGACGCTCTCTATAGATGTTGGTCTGCACTCATCCAGCGTATCTCACGCCCCAGTCTCATTCGATCATGCTTGGGTTGACGCCTCCGGTGGTAGGTATTTGGAGAACCGAGTACGATTCTGCTCTCGTCAACGTCCGTTCTGGTGATCCAAAGGGCAGGTCTCATCCTGTTTAGCAGATGCCGAGTCCGCTCTTTGACGTTCAGCCTGCCACCTTCCTCTCGATCTAGCGAAAGAATGCTGTCTACAGTATTGCCACCGTCATGGACCCCGGTGGTGTCGCATAAGGATTCCTTCGACAGACTGATATGTCACTTACCGTGACTCCTCGAAACTGACAGTGGTTCTGCATCTGAACACCTGGAATAATACTCGTCAGGTCTCGAAACGACCGGTCTGACCCCGCGCTGGCACATGTCGTCGGCGGCGTTTTTACCCCAGACGAATACATCAGAAGACATTGCCTAGTTAACGACAACTCGAATGCCGTAAATGTCGAGTGGGTAGTTTAGTTGCCGGCTGAGTACTTGCGGTGTGGCCTCTCTCGAAGTGTCTGGATGCTAACGCTATGACGATGGGATCTGGGTTAGGGAAGCATCATGAAGTCATG